CTGGAAGGCAGGCGCTCCTCGAGTGGCTTGCCATTGCTTCCCTATCAGAGGCGCCCCAGCGTTGGCGTTTTGGTGGCCAGTGGACAGAGGCGACAGTCCATCAAAGATGTGGCTCGCACCAACTCAAGCGAATCAGCGGAAGAAACCGGAACCGAGAGACCCGATTTGCCAATTAAAAAAGACCGGAGACCATCTCAATACAAACGTAATGCTCGCCGCTCTTCCGCTGCCTTCTCTGGCGGGCGGCGAAGAATGGCGGTGCGATACTCTCGCCCCGCCAATGAAAAGTCCATCGAACCTCATTTGCTCGGTTCCTCCATGTTACTCGCAAGCGTCGTCCAGATGGGCAGCGGTGGGAATGAAAAGCAAGCGGAAGAATCTGCCGTCTCGCTTTGTTCCTGCTCTGGGTCAGATGATGAGGGGGGCAGCGTCCAGCGAGCGGGAGTAAAAACGGCGAGCGGCGAAGAAGATGGCAGGCCCGGATCTCAAGTGGACGCAACCCAAGCGATTATGAGGAAGCGCATTAAACCCCGACCCTTCCTCCGACCTCCTCGCTGTCTAAGACGGAACTCCTCCCATCTCCTCCCAGCTGAGTCTGTCTATCAGAACAGCGAAACGCTTTATGGGCTTTATGGGCGCTATCATCATCGAAGGTCAAGTCAAAGTACTCAAGCTCTAAATAGCCTGTTTCAGACTTCCGCCGATCTGAAGTCGGATCTGGAGGCGCTCCTTTGTGAACCTACTCTCCCTAAAAGCTGCTCTTCACCTCTCGGGGGATCGGAGGGGTTGACATACTATGATCCATATCTGGAAACATGGGAGAACTTCCTATCGTATGTAGTAAACTCTCTCACAAACACCCATTCAGACACACTGTGATACATTCAATGTCGTACCTCGATTTAGGATATGCCAGCATACCTATTTTTAACATTTTGGTTCTCGAGTGAGAACCTGAGAGGGTTGTTTTATGCGTATGCTTTTCTTAATACCCAAGTCAGCAGAGGTGGGCATTCCGACACTGACAGTTTCCCGTTTTGCTGGCGGACTGCCGACTAACGGAAACGCTGAAGCACTGACAAACTAAGCACCGAGAGAAGTTGTTTTTCCATCCTTCAACCGGAATCATCACTAACCCCAGTGGCGGGCAGTGCGTCAATACTCAAGGATGGTCCGTCAGTGACAGACTCCTGTTTTGTTGATGACTGATGGGAGCACGTGCCATGTGTCTCGCGTGTGTTTCTTCGTGGGGGTGACTACAGTGGGATTGCTTCTTGTCAATTTGGTGACCTGCGGTTTTGTTGCCTGCTAAATCTCGGCTCCCATTCTCCAAGCCTGCTCCTGTTTTCGGTCATCGTGGCCCGGTAGAGGAAGCTGTCTGTGTGGTATACCTTTCGGATCACACAGACCGCAATGACATTGTCCCGTATTGCGGAAGCGTGATTAAAATTACGATGACAGACTGATCGATTGATGATGACGGACTGGCGAAACGGCCGCTGGCGAATGACGAATGACGGACTGGTGAAATTTACTGACACGCCCACTTCTGCTGTAAACCTTGTAAACAGATTTTTTTTTACCTCTCGTGGAAACTAAATTTGCGGTGACAGAAACACGGTTAAAATAACGACAGACTGACAACGGACGGACGTGATTGGCTTGAAATAATGACGGATTGACGATGCCGACTGACGATGGGCGGCCTGGCTGCTGGCGAATGACGAATGACGGAGCGGAAATTAAAATAGTAACTTCCAAAAGAAGCTATTTATATTAAAACGCCGTCTAGCTGCCTGTGAATGTTGTCATCTCTCTAGGTCATTTCATTCTCAGGGCTCTGAATTGATTGATCTGTTTGTTTCGGTGCTCATCTGAGCAGGCTTCGCCAATCCATGCAATAAGGCTCGGGTGGGGCTGCACCTAGAGGCGAAACATTTTCAGTCGCGATCAATTCAATACCTCGAGATTCACCTTTAGCTGACTTTGGGCCTTTCCTACTGTACATGTTTGGGGAATGGAATATAAAAATTGTTATCATTATGGTGATGCACCCGTGCTGATAAGCCCTTTTATGATTGTGCAACGAGAAGATGAGCTACTTTTAAAAATTCAGCCACATCAAATATGTCTCCTTTAGAGAATCATTGCTCTTGTCACATAAGGCTTGCCATATATCGTTGATGGGGCCTTTGGGCCGTAAGAGCATGTTGTTCTGAAAGAAAAAGTAAAAGTGTACCTGTGGTGGTTAGAAGGAAAAATCATCGAAATGTGTTTGGGATTCACTGGTGGCATTAAAGCAAGCTTTTAATAGCTCGTGGCAACTTTCTGTCCGAGACGCCACGGCAGCTAAGCACGCAGACAGACGTGATATTTCGTTTGTCCACTGGAAGCAGAGCCGTAACGTAGCGTCATTGAAAGTCGAGCGTGGGATGCAATTTGCTGCCGCAGGCATTCCAAGCTATCATGGTGGAATGTAAGGCATATGGACGTTGTAATAACAAGCGAAAAAAACGATAACAAGCAGTAATTGACCATTGAAAAAGAACGCCAAATAAGTATTTCCAGAATTGGTTCACGTCTCACACACACACACGCACACACACACACACACACACACACACACACACAAACGCACGCACCAGACGTTTATCATACTTTACAGTATTGTTCCGTTTCCCCTTCAATACCTCGAAATGGGCAGTCTGGGGCATATTTTAAGACTCATCCAAATGTGGTTGGGATTCACTGGTGGCATTAAAGCAAGCTTCTAATAGCTCGTGGCAACTTTCTGTCCGAGACGCCACGGCAGCTAAGCACGCAGACAGACGTGATATTTCGTTGGTCCACTGGAAGCAGAGCCGTAACGTAGCGTCGTTGAAAGTCGAGCGTGGGATGGAATTTGCTGCCGCAGGCAGCACCTGGTTGCTCCGGATTTTATGAAAAAGCTATCATGGTGGAATGTAAGCTATATGGACGTTGTAGTAACAAGCGAAAGAAACGATAACAAGCAGTAATTGACCATTGAAAAAGAACGCCAAATAAGTATTTCCAGAATTGGTTCACGTCTCACACACGCACACGCACTAACGCACGCACGCACGCACCAGACATTTATCATACTTTACAGTATTGTTCCGTTTCCCCTTCAATACCTCGAAATGGGCAGTCTGGGGTATATTTTAAGACTCCGAGAACCACCAGGAAAGGAAAAACTGAGAAGTGGCTGTGTTGAAGATGTAAGAAAGCACCTCCATGAAGGAAATTTTGAATATAGTGACGTCCCTGTCTGACTATAATTTTTCTCAGAGAATGCCGACCCCCGCTAAGGCCGAGTTAACTGTCAAGTGCTTGTTGTCCATTCGTACGTTGGTGAATCATTCTGGTGGGCGGATGTTCCATTGTTGTCATATTGAAACAAACGTTGAAAATAAATTTGCGCCACCCCCTATAAATTTGTGTGGAAATTGTTTTAGTTTTTTCTTGCACAATTCCATTCACTATATTTGATTAGTGCTTGTTGCTTTAGCATCTCAAAATAACTGAGAAGGTAAAGTACTTCTACTGCATGCTACCTTGTTCCAGTAAAAAAAAAAAAATTGCAGTGCGCAATTTGATGCATGATCTTGTATTGTCTAGTAGAAAAAAATGGCAGCAGGTTTGATTTTTACACCTCTTATTTTCTGTTTCCAGAAAAGCAATAGCAAAATCTGGCCTCCACCATCTGCCCGGTCAGCCCAGTACATCATCATTAAATCGAGCAGAACCAGAAGCGATTATCCGCAGCACTGTTGACTGGACTGTAAGTAAAAGGACCAATGTATTGGATCCAAATCTCTCTCTCTCTCTCTCTCTCTCTCTCTCTCTCTCTCTATCTCTATCTCTCTCTCTCTCTCTATCTCTATCTCTCTCTCTCTCTCTCTCTCTCTCTCTCTCTTTCTCCATGTAGCGCTACTACGTATTATCGTGTCCCACACACAAAGTAAATCAATAAATATGTTGCTTTGTCTTACTAGGAGTCTGCTCAGCATGGAGATCATATCTGGTTCGAGACGAATGTGTCTGGAGACTACTGTTATGTGGGAGAACAACACTGTATTGCAAGAGCACTGGTCAGTATTACATGTTAGTATCTTGTCATATCAATCACACGCTGTCTAGACATCCATTTGTCTGCATGGCTATTCCTCCCTATCTGCCCTGCCACCGCGTCCATATCGATTAATGTGGCTGTCTGTCTGTGTCTTCATCGCTACCGCTTCTCTCCATTCCTCCCATGCACACCGTTAAACAGTGGACAGTGAATGAATACAGTATTGGAACAGTGAGGCCTTTATCCTAGCTGTCGACTCCAAAAACTCAAGTTGGATGTAAAAAGGGAATGGTGAGGATCGGAGACCAGATACGTATTTCATCTTTTACTTCTTTTTGTTTACATTTGGATCTGATACACAACTTTAAAAATGGCACCTATTTTTCAAAAGAGCTAAAGTATTGGAACACATCACTGACTGCTCTGTTGTTTGCTGTGTGGGCCTGGTGTGTCCTATTACATTTATTATTCAGGCAATCATTCCTGTTGAATGTCTATTTTCCTGTGAAGACTACATGTAGATGCTACTTAGACTATAAATAAAACCAATGTGAAAACCAAAGAGTGGCCTATGGAAGAAAAAAAGGATAGAGTTAGTAGATGATGTATTTTCTTTCAAGCAGGAACAACCATACAGCATCGCACACAGCCGTTGTTCACAGAATACTTGTCTGATCTCCTGTTGCATACATTCATAAGTTCACTCAACATGGACTACGCTCTATCTTGACAACCACTGTTTCCTCACAGGAAAATGCGTCCATCTGACTTCTTCTGATTTAACCCTTTGAGGGACAGCGGTTACTACAGTGGACAGCTTTTCGTGTTATCAGGTTACAGGGTGCATGAAAGGGTTAACCAAACATGGACTGTGTCCCATTGACAAATATTTCAACAACCATAAATTTGTTTAAAGCAAGTCTGCACATATAATAGGTGTAGTATAGGTACGGAGGAATACAAACCTATCCTTTAGTGAGAATAGAAGGACCTTACCAAAAAAAAAAAAAAAAAAAAGAACCAGGACAGAGATTAGAAATACGATTCTGGGAGAAATGTATCGGTCGGGACTGATGATGGGACAAAGATGAGCTTCAACTTTGGAGAAAGTCATGATCTGCTTCTGACCTCAAACATCCATCCATCCATTTTCTGAAACGCTTTATCCTCACAAGGGATACTGGAGCCTATCCCGGGGCAGTAGGCGGGGGAAAACCCTGAACTGGTTGCCAGCCAATCGCAGGGCACACAAAGACAAACAACCATCCGCGCTCTCACTCACACCGCAGCACAATTTCGAGTGTTCCATTAACCTGCCATGCATGTTTTTGGAATGTGGGAGGCAACCGCAGTACCCGGAAAAAACCCACGCAGGCCCGGGGGAGAACATGCAAACTCCAACCGAACCCTGCACCCATCCATGCACGGTGAGGCGGATGTGTAAACCCGTTGCCCCGCCCCATGCCGCCCTGACCTCAAACAGACAAGCACAAATGTGAAACACAGTGAAACGGATTTCACGATCTGAGCTTCTATTGGTTGTTCTTGGACGGACGCATTCATCTCCAGCGAAGTGCAGTCAGACAGGATGGTAGGAAAAGGAACGAGTTGAAATTGAACTTGTTGGTTCCTTTATCTCAGACAGGCTCTTTTTTTTTTTTAGGTTTTTATTGAACTGACATGATGAAAGACTTCTGTCGAAACATGGTTCCTCTGTCTCAGTCAGGGTTTTTTTTTAAACTTATTTACCTGATATGTTTTGGCGGAAGTCTTTCATCATGTCAGTTCAATAACAACCAAAAAAAAAAAAAAAAACCCGTCTGAGATACAGGAACCAACAAGTTCAATTGTAAATAAGAGACAGAATGAACTTTATTCAGTTGGAACTCGTCACCAGTCGACAGAATTTTTTTTTCCCCCAACCAGATTGGGAAGAGTCTTCATCATGTAGCAAGTTGCTGATTCACAGCACATTGCAAAAACTATTAAATAATTCCTCGGCGGCAAGGTGAAGGTTTTAGACTGGCCAAGAAATAACCAGACTTGAACCCGATTTTACTTGCTCAGGAGAAGATCGAAGGAAGGAACCCACACAAAACAAAAAACTGAAAGAGGCTGCGGTGAAAGGCTGGTAAAGCAATCAGAAAAGATTCCAGGCTTGATGCAACGATCCATCTATCCATTTTCAATCCCACTTGTTCAGTGTCATGGGGCGCTGCTGCCTAGCTGGAATGGTCGCCATTAAGTTGCATGGCACGTATGGGGACGAACAAATCATTCATACTCCCATTCACTCTGTCACTGATTGGGAACTGAACCTTTGCTGACCCACGTCAGACGAATGTACCAATACGCGTCACTGACAACTAAGCGAAGGATTTTCAACTCAATATTAAGTCTTTGGCCAGCTGCTTTTCAGTTGAACTCAAATATCGGTTTGCTTACCATTCCAATACTCCTGGAGGGGAGTTTATATCAAGCTGTATCATCATGCAAGCGGCATTAAGATTTGTTTGACCTTGATCAGAACCAGGACTGTGTTACGGGTTATATTTTTCTTGGCAATATGCTGCCATCGTATAGTGAAAGGTGACTTGACTCTGGGCATTAAAAAAAAAAAAAAACACCCCACCTTATTTTTTCTATTCTTATTCTCCACAGCAAAAGTCAGTCACCCGGAGAAAGTGTGCTGCCTGCAAGATAGTTGTCCACACAATCTGTATGGAACAACTGGAGAAGGTAATTTAAGTTTGCTTGTTCCGGTCCAGAGTTGATCTTAGCAGGCGTCTCGCCTGTGTATGTGCCAGCTTGCATCAGTGCGTGCCGGCCCCTGAGCACTTGCACAAACCCACGTGGGTAGAATTCTTGGTACAGGAATGGGGACCAAGGCCTGTTGCAAACAGCAAGTAAAATGGCAAGTCACTGACAATCCCCCACCAAAGATGTTAATGATTGATTGTTTGTTTGTTTATTAATACTTTAAACCAGTGGTGTCAAACATACGGCTCGCGGGCCGGAACCGGCCCCCAAGGAGGTTCGATCAGGCCCGCGGGATAATTTAAACGGGAAAAGAATGCATTAAAGATACGGAATGAATATTTTTAATCAGGTGTAATTCATGGAATATCCGCTAGGGGACACACATATAAATTTGTCAAAGGAAAGGTGCCTCATGAAATGTTTTGTAAAAGACATGTTCATTAAATTTCAACATTTTCCTAATGTTCTTGTGCTTCTTTAGACCAAAGAAGTTATTTTGGTCTATTTTGGTTATTTATAGCAGAGTATGGTATAATTTTAATGGTCTGGCCCACTTGACATCGACCGAGGCCGTATGTGGCCCACAATGTGAAATGAGTTTGACACCCCTGGTTTAAACTGTATATATGCCACCCAACTATGATCCT